ATTTACACAAAATCAGACTAAAGGACTATACTATCTATCCTATGATATTCAGCCTCTTAGCCTTTTCAACTGCTTGGGTGCGGCGCTCAACCTCTAGTTTTTCGAATAATTTAGATGAGTGGGTTTTAATAGTGTTGAGTGATACAAACAACCTATCTGCAATTTCGTTATTGCTTAATCCCCGAGCCATGAGCTGCAGTACCTCTAGCTCCCGTTTACTTATACCCGTACGTTTAAGTTCTTCTTCATTAACTATAAATGTGGAGTTGTTTCGTATTACTTCTTTCTCCACAATAACCTCCTTCTCAACCACCACTTCTTTTTCTATTACTTTGGTTTTAGGTTTAACTAGTTTTAAAGCCAGCCAAATACCCAGGCCGGTAAAAACAAGCGCAATGCAGCCTACATAAATTTCCAGCCTGTAGTTTATTATTACAAACTTAAGCTCAAGCCATTTCAACAAAAACAACAAGGCTGCTAACGCTACGCCGTATGCTACATTTCGCCATGTAATTGCCTGTATGCTTTTTAACATAGCACAAAAATAGGCATTTTGAATTTATGGGTATATTGCGCTATGAGTCCCACAGTAACCCTCCGCCCCATAGAAACAGGCGATGCCGAAGCTATTGCCCGTATGGGTAATAACCCAAAGATTGCCGGTTTTATGCGCGATGTTTTTCCGCACCCTTACACCTTAGAAAATGCAGTGGCATTTGTTAATAATTTAAAAGACCAACAACCTACCAAGGTATTTGCCATTATTGCCGATGGGGTACACGTGGGTTGCTGCGGCATATTCCCAAAAGAAGATGTGGCCCGCATGAATGCTGAAGTTGGGTATTGGATTGGAGAAGAACACTGGGGCAAAGGCATTGCTACCCAAGCTACTAAACTAATAGCTGCTTATGGTTTTGAAACCTTGGACATGAACAGGATTTACGCCAGCGTATTTAGTCCAAACAAGGCATCGGCAAAGGTGCTGGAAAAGGCAGGCTTTACTTACGAAGGCACCCATAGGCAGTCGGTTTATAAAAACGGTGAATATTTAGACGAGCTATTTTATTCACTATTGCGCAAAGACTAGGGCTTAATTTGCTAATATTGCCCTTTCAAAAAAATTACGGTTATGCTTGATAAAAATGGTATTGCCAAACGTATTGCACAAGAGCTAAAAGATGGCATGTATGTTAACTTAGGCATTGGTATTCCTACGTTGGTAGCCAACTATATACCTAACGGAATGCGTGTTGTTTTACAATCGGAGAATGGTTTGCTGGGCATGGGCGCCTTTCCGTTTGAGGGTGAAGAAGACGCAGACTGGATTAATGCAGGCAAACAAACCGTTACTGCAATAAAAGGCGCATCGCTGTTTAGCAGTGCCGAGAGCTTTGCCATGATACGCGGCGGCCACGTACACCTTACTGTGCTGGGCGCTATGGAAGTATCGGAAAACGGCGACATTGCCAACTGGAAGATCCCCGGCAAAATGGTAAAAGGCATGGGTGGCGCTATGGATTTAGTAGCATCGGCCAAGCATATTATTGTGGCTATGCAGCATGTAAACAAAGCAGGCCAAAGCAAGCTGTTAAAGCAATGCGAGTTACCTATAACGGGTGTTAAATGTGTAAAGCGCATTGTATCTGAACTGGCTGTTATAGACGTTACCCCAGAAGGTTTTAAGTTGGTAGAACGTGCTCCGGGCATATCGGTTGAGCATATTGTAAATTCTACCGCTGCCAACCTTATAGTAGAAGGCGATATTCCTGAAATGGTACTATAGTAACGTGGAAGTACCTAACCAACGATATATTATTACGGGAGGCCCCGGATTTGGTAAAACCACCATTATTAAGCGCCTGGAAGAGCTGGGCCATGAGGTTTGCCACGAAAACTCACGCGAAGTAATTAAAGAACAGCTTGATACCGGTGGCAATATTCTGCCTTGGGTTGATGTAACCAAGTTTACCGAGATTATTATTGAAAAACGCATACAATCGTACTTAGCGGTACCACCCAATAAGCCTGTATTTTTTGACCGTGCCATTGCTGATGCTTTAGCTTTTATGTACCGTCAGGAGCTGGAAGTAAAAGAAAGCCTTGCCAAAGCCGCCCGCGATTATAAATACAACACCATGGTGTTTATTACCCCACCCTGGTACTCCATATTTAAAAACGATAACGAGCGCAGGGAAACTTATGCCGAAAGTGTTACCGTACACTCATACATAGCAAAAACCTATGCCGATTTAGGCTATAAGCTGGTAGATATTCCTCCGGGAGAGCTTGATGCCCGTGTAGAGTTTGTATTGAATAGTATTAAGTAATCCCCAGTAACTACTGTTTGCTTTTCAACTCCTGAAACATTAGGGTCTAATTTTTTGTTTCTAAATAAACCAATGCTAAAGAGCGCCGGATTATGCACAAAAGATCCTATTATTTTGTCAACGCGATAACACTTTACCGGCTGGTAGCAGCTTTCGGTTTGGGTGTTCTTATACTCACCAAACAGGAAAACATTTTTAAATGGTTGCTGGCACTAAGTTTTTTTACTGATTTGATAGACGGTTTTTTATCACGGAAATTTAAAGTATCCAGTGTGTTTGGCAACAGGGTTGACTCTATTGCAGACGACCTTACGGTATTAGCTGCTATAGCCGGTGTATTAGTTTTCAAACCCGGATTTATAGAACAGGAAATAGTTATTGTGATTATTATGGGTGCTTTATATATAACCCAGGTTTTATCAGCGTTAATCAAGTATGGTAAAATAACCGGCTTCCATACATATACCGCTAAGTTTGCCGCTTTATTACAAGGCACATTTTTTATCTTGGTATTCTTTTTACCGGTTTTGCCTGTGTGGTTATTTTATATGGCTTCCATTGCTACTATAGTAGACTTAATTGAAGAGATTATCCTGGTAATACTATTGCCCAAATGGAAAGCGGATATAAAAGGCTTGTATTGGGTAATGAAAGAGCGATAAACATTCTCCCTTTTTTTGATGTTTT